TGTCTGACTGCATCACTGTAATATCTCTTTTCTCTCTCATGCTCTCGATGACTTTAATATAATACTTATATATCTCAACTGTACAATTGTGCATTACTGAACCCAAAAGTAGTATTATTGAACCAGTGAGCTCTAGTAGTGGATGGGGCTGACACCCCACTCCCCCACGCTACTTTTAATACAACAGATCATAACTGAACATTGTATGCAAAAGGACTGGACTATCACAACATACTGTTCATTTGCTAGAAGATCAAGATTATGGGCTTTCAACATTAATTAATGGTCAATATGGGCTGGAACATTACTAATTTTTATGTAACCCCTTATTTGTGCAATGTCACCATACATAATGGGGCTTTAATTAGAAATCATTTGCAGAGGTTTAAGGGAAACTTTTCTTTAGATGTTATTCAGCTGAAAAAGGAATTTTTCAATACATTTAAGGACAGGCTAAAGTCATCCCCTAGCTCTGCTGTATTAAACAATTGGTAAATGGCTTGGGGGGACTTGACCCCTGTGTCTGGGTTCAAAGCGTTTTGCATAGCTTAGGTTCTAGCCTAACTGTGCTGCTTATATTCATAGTGTTTGCCCTTGCAGTCACATGCTGCTCCTATAGAAAGCTATGGCATATGAAAAAAATGTCATATAGCCTCGATGGCTCTTTTGAAGTATACACATAAAACAAAAGGCAGAAATGTGGGAAACCGAAAAATGGGAATTGTGTATGCAGACAAATTCTTTATTCTAATATTTTAAGAAGCCTGATAGGCCAGGATTCTGGGTGGAGGGAGGCCTTCATACTTGTGAGCTAGAGAATAGTCCCAATCACATAGTCATAATCAAGATTGATCCCCATAATATCCTTCCATAATAGTGCTGCCTTAAAGTTACGATATGTACGCAAGTCTAAGCCAACCCGAATATAAGACGAGGCACCTAATTTTACCATAAAACTGGGAAAACGTATTGACTCAAGTACAAGCCTAGGATGGGCAATGCAGCACCTACTGGTAAATTTCAAAAGAAAAATAGATGCCAATAAAATTACATTAATTGAGGCATCAGTAGGTTAAATGTTTTTGAATATTTATTTCAAAGAAAAAACAGTAAACTAGCTCTGTAAAGAGAAAAGAGGGTCAACAAAAACAATATGGTATCAACAATAACTTTAAAGTACAAAAACCTTAGCTCAATCCGCAACCAGGCTAAATCACAAGAGTTAAAATCCTTCAAAACTGGATTCCTCCTCCTCATCTGTCTGTCCAAACAGAGCTGCAGCATTAGCTGGTGTGCGGTCACCCGCATAGACACTATCATCATCACCGAGTTCACAGTCATCCCCATCACTGCTGTCGTTCTCGTACAAAGCGCTGTCTCCACTGCCATCCCCAGCATTACTGATGCCACATGTCCTGAAGGCGTGTTGCACCATGTCCTCTGGACTCTCTTCCCATGTACCACAAACCCACTGCTATCGATTCTATGCCGGGCTTCTTCAGATTCCCCACTTTTGTCAGTCAGGCTTGACCAGATGACATCCATGCATGCCACATCTTTCGCACATGGTCTTTGAAAGGTTTATTTACACACACATCTAGGGGCTGCAAGACAGATGTATGCCCACCTGGAATAATGCACTGTGTTACTGCATGTGCTGCACTGCTGCATATTTAGCATTACTGCATATGTATGGGAAGTGCTAACACAACATATGCAGTAACAGTGCGTACACAACTCAGTGCGTACATTATGAGCCCTAACACAGGCTGCTCTATGCAAGCATAGTCAACACTGGGTCCAGATAGGGGTTAAAAAGAAAATAAAAAATAAAATATAGCAGACTAAGTACTGTAAATAAGCGTACTGTATATCCAAGACCAGAGATATACTGGTACTTGTATTGAGCAATGCTTGGCCGGAGCAAGGGGGCGTAACCAAGCACTGGTAAGGCTGTAAAGGCTACGTCATTGGTCACAGCCCTGGAGAGGGGCAGAAGAGCGGCTGCATCCAGCATTCATCTGACAAGGATGCGGTGCGCCCAGGTACCAGCACACAGAAGCGGGCAGGTTCTTGCCCAGCACAGCACGGACAACACAGAGCCTGCTGGCATGCAGGAGAAAGAAGAGCGGTGATATAGCAGTCATCAGATCACCCACAGAGGCTGCAGGCGCCTGCAGATGAGCGGGAGAGACGAGAATGCCCGTGCTGCACCAGAGAACAGGTAAGTGGGACCCTCACTCGAGGATAAGCTGAGGGGGATTTTTCAGCATAAAAAGTGTTCTGAAAAACTTGGCTTATACACGAGTCTATATGGTACCTCTTATGAGCACGTGGCATGTACAATTATCCTTTATACAAAACTCTCTTATGCACGAGTTTCTATAGATTTGTTTCTCTCGTCTACCAGAACTAACAGATGGGCCAAGGATAGTGAACCCTCGTTTATCGCGGTTAATCGGTTCTAGACCCTACTGCGATAAATGAAATTCCGCGAAGTAGGATTCCTTATTTGTAAATCAAATATTTTCGTAGTTAGAGCATAGAGGACATGAAAAAACACCCTTTAGTCACCATTACACTCATATTACCCAATTTATTAAACGAAAAAGGGAAAATACAGTAAAACATTTTGGACGTTACAATTATCATTTATTATTTATTATATTATTTATGGCATCAAGCGTATACAGTATGAGCCAATCAGTGGCAGTAATGACAGAGCATGCGCTGTTACGCAAAAACCGCAATAGAGTGAAGCCGCGGAAGTCAAAGCGCAAAGTGGCGAGGGTTCACTGTATATATAAACTTTAGATATATGAGAAGGATTTTGAGCTTGCACTTCATTGTAAGCCCCGATCTAAAAAGAATGAATCCTTACAGTTTGGCCCTGCACAGCGCTTGCCCTCATGAAGTGATCACTGAAGAGATGGGTCTTAGAGCAACGTGAACAGATGGTGCTCAGATATCAGAAAGAATAGTGTCTGGGGTATTAAAGCAAGCAGCCATCTAAGTGAGGAGTCAGCGAAGTCCACACAGAGCCCAGCAGCCCTTGTGATCCAAGGATTGTAAATAATAAAATCCAAGATCAGAGGGGATTTTAAAACAAAAAAATAAAAGTTTCAGAGTTTTAAAAAAGTATCAGAACTTAAGCTCCAATACAATTTCCTCTTCCAATGCTGGATGAGGAAATTGTGTCAGAGCTTAAGTTCTGAGCACCTGGTTTGTAGATGGCTATGGATGACACTGAAAGCCCAAAGTCCACTTGCAGAGTCCCCATGAGGATGAAGCCTGTAGAACAGTCTTGCCCTCAGACAGAGAGTAGTCAAAAGTGAATTACTGCAGATATTGTTAGGTTGAAAATCTAACACCTAATCATTTCTTTCCTCTTTGACCCATTTGAAATTTATTTCGATTATCTTCTGCTTTCTCTTAGATTGAGATTTTTCAGTATTTTATTTTATTGCAGTTGGGTTTTTTGTTTGATTTTCTTCATATGAAGTCCAGGATAGGTAATCCATAGACAGACTAGATTGAGTTCTTTATAGTTATTGCAGGGGAGGTTGGGAGTTTAATGAGACCATAATAATGGATACAAGGATAAAGAAACTGACCTAAAATCGATCGTGGTGATAACTGCACAACACTTTTGAAGATATATCTGTACCATCAAATTGTATGGCATGTGAATTAATTATATGCCAATAAAACCGTTACAAAAATAAATGTCCCATGTAAATTCCCACACTGGGTATAACCAGTATCTAGTACTGGCTGGGTGATGCAGGGGCTTTCTACACACCAGGGTGGCAATAAAATAGATGCTAAGGTTGCCATATGACCAATAATGCTATAGGCAAAGAGCCCTAATGGGACAATGCGTTAAGCATTGGGCTGCTCACAGAAAGGATGACGGTTCAAATCTACCAGCCACTCCATGGGAGGAAGATGAGGCTATCCGTATCTGTAAAGATTTACCACCTCAAAAATTCCATGGAACAATTCTACTGTCTTGTAGGGCCACTATGTATAAGAATCAACTCGATGGTAGGGATTTCTTAAATGTTATTTATAGTACTAAAGTCAAATCCTTATTTTCAAACGTCTCACTGATTGTAGTTTAAATATTAGGAATATAAACTTTTGAACAAACAATGCTTAAAAATCTACTGTATACAACTTAGACTAGGGTCTGCACCAAATTTAAAGGTGCTCTGGCGACAGAAAGGTTCAATCCTCAGCTAACTGAAAGGTCAGCGCTTGGAGCTGCCACCTACGGCATGGTAGAAAGATGCAGCAGTCTGCTTCCCCAAACACCACAGCCTTGGAAACCCAATGGGGCATTTTGACTCTTCTCCGTCCTCTCGGGCCTCACAGCTGGAATTGACCTGATGGTAATGGGATAAACAAAATTTACTTTGAGGAATTATGTTGAAAATTGTTTAGGTAATAACATCATTGGTATTATTGCCCATATCAATGATTCCCATTCCAAAGAAGGTACTTTGTCCTAAGCAATTGTCTGTCTGTCACCGCTACTGTTCGTGTACAGCAGGTTGACTCCGTCTTGACGCATTTCAGATTTGGAGAAAGCTTCTCGCTCAAAGCCAAACGGATCCGCGATCTGCTCGCAAGACGGAAAACACAGTGCCTGGTTATGTGACCTTCAGAATGAAAAGAAAAGGATTTCTCTCACCACAACGTACGACAGAATAGAAGTAAAACCTGGAGGGCTAAGGGCAAAGGATCGGTAGAAAAAAGAGAAGAAATTCCACTGTACTTGGCATGTAACTTTATTATTTTGTGATGAAAATACTTTCATATAAATTTGTTCTTAGCTACTTTTAGAATGAATGTTTGAAAGGTAAAAACAAAGTGTGCATTTTCCTTACTATAGAGAGTCAGGAGCATGCAGTCAATTTAATGGTTATTGGGTTTCTCATACAAGCAGATATAATATCACTTTTACAGGAAATGTACATGAGGAGCCATAGTACCAAACAGCTATTAGTGGGGGCCTCTGGGTATATAAATTTCTCCTCTCAAAGAGTCATACATTCAATGTACTGGTTAAGGCCCAACCTCCCCGCCAAGAAGACATCACACCTTTGGTCCGTTACTAGGCAAGGGTTACAGACGAGTCAATTTAATAGGAAGAATACACAATGGGCCCGAGTACAATAGCTGGTCACATATGAAATCTTAACATCTCGGTCTCTTTCCTCTTCAAGTCTCTCCTCCCCCACCATCCATGTAAGACAGGAAACGAGGCTTACAACAAAACTGTAGAAATAAACAAATAAAAAAACTTATCCCCAAGGTCAGGCAGATGAGGACCCAATGGACGAACTTAAACATACAAACAGCAAGCAAAACAGAAAAGGTGTGTGTGTGAACGTTGACATAAAGATGAATCCTTTAAAAGCTTGGTTTTCCATTTAGAACCCTGCTGAGAAAATTATTCTCCATTTTACCTTCCCTTTTTAATTAAATACTGTACAACCCAGGGGTCCTTCCCATGGGATAAAATGCTCAAAAGGCAGTGAGTGTCCTCATGCTCGGCAACATCGATGCCCGCTGCATGCAGATGGATGGCAGCTCTCACAGCACCTTCTCCCAACCCCAAGCAGTGGCCTTAGTTTCCCAGGGAGAACCCAGCAAGTTAGTTCCCCACTGTGCTCAGGGGTGGAGGAGGCGATCAAAGATCAACACCTCTGGATCCGCATGGGCACAATTTGGGAAATGGGCTACAGAAGGAGTGCAGAGAGGACAGGTGTGCTGTGGTCCAAAACAGCCCGTCCGGAGAAGCCCTCTCTATCCACCACCTGACAAATGGGTGGAGAGTCATCACTTTGAAGGATAAACTCTTCACACACTGAAAGAGGCAGGTGCAATGTAGCAGTGTGAGAGAAGAAAACTACAGAATGAACAAAAATTGCTTATATCAAGGCAGGACTAGTAATTATTTGTGTTGAAACTTGGGGGGGGGTGTTGAAAAACCATTTGCAGAACTGTCATGCTCACAAACACATAGTGCTTTCACATGGGGCTGCAGTCAGATAAATCGGGCACTCAGAGAGGATTGGCATCTGCTTCTGGTCCTGGCAGGATTGAGGACAATCACTGATAGCAAAACAGACTACCCAAATTCCATGAATAGCTCCACACACTCGGCAGAACTAGCGCCCGAGCCTGCTGGGTAGAAAGGGTAGTATGGCCATGGGACTGACTTTTAGTTGACCCATGTAGAAGACAAAGGAAAATGTTCCCATCTGATTTCTCCTCTTACCGATGCTGCTCCTGCCCTTGACAGGAAGGTCAGGGCAGTCTCTCCGAGGACAAGTAAAGGAGCAGACCGGGGTGTGGGGCAGCACAGTGTGCACTTGAGAAGGCCGATGGCAAGAGATGGGAGTGTGACTTCCAAAGGGCCAGCAGCACTGCTAAGTCTCCTGAACGGAAACGCTGTGAGCAGAGGAAGGACCCGCCACAGCAGGCAGGAGCGAGGCCCTCCCAGCTCCCCTCCCAGCACGGGGGCAGGCTGGAACTCTAGAAAAGGAAGCACCTCTCCATTTCCAGCCTTTCCCTATAGAAAAGCTGGGTCCTTGAGAAGGTAGCAGGTGCCCCGGTGACTCGGAGCACCCAAGTGTAGAGCGGGGCCTGCAAGCCGCAGCTGACAGAAGTAAGGAGCCGGAAAGCAGGTTCCTGGAGTTGGCCAAAGCGTGAGGGTGCAGAGTTTGAGACGTTTTCTTCCGTGGGAGGAGAGGCTTAGCCAGCCTGGGGCAGAATGAACAAAGGCGCAGGGCCGAGGGCTGGACAACCTGCTGGCAAGGAGCTTCTCCCTGGCAGTCAACAGAATGCGGGGCAGGCAGGAGGGGCCTGCTGGGTGGCATCCACTCCTTGCACGAGTTAACTTCGCTCTTGGTCATTCCCAACATTTTTCTGGCTCAAAAACAATGACGGTGACGACGACGACGAAGAAAATGACAACAGAAAAGTCCTAGTACCTAGGCGGCTGAGGGTAAACTTTCACACTGACTAGGGCTGGAAATGGAAAAACAGTAGACTTCTCCTCGTTCCAGGTAAACTTTACCTGTAGCCCTGCAAGCAGGCCCGGCAACTAAGGCGGCAGTCTCTTGAAGGGATCTCCTACCCGCAGACCTCGTCCCACCCGCACCGTGTCCTTCTCCAAGAAACCGAGGCACTGCCCTCAGGTCAGTGCTGACCCTAACCACCCTCGCTGGGTTTCCGGCCGGCCGGGACTGTTGGTGGGAGTGCGAAGCCCAGTCTTCTCCCTCCAGGAATGAGAACTGTCGGAGCACGTGGTGGGTCCTTTCCCTAAAGAAACATGCGCAGAGGGTTATGCACAACCCAAGTAAACCCTGGGGCCCTGGGAAATGGGAGGGAAACAGGAGGCTGAGGTTGCCTTCCAGGGGAGGAAGGGTTAAAGCGCAGAGGTCTTGAACTATACCGTGCTGAAGGGGGACAGCCAGGGAGGGGCGCAACAGCGGGGTGCCAAATGAAGTCTGAGGAATGTCCAAGGATGAAAAGATGAGAAACATCAACTCCGGCAGAACGCCAGGGCACAAGTCCCAACAGGACTCGACTGTGGAAACAGCTCAGAGATCTGGCCACGGGCCTCAGAGCTGAAAATACAGTCCAGGCTGCAAGAACATCTGGGCTACGATAGGCATCCATCAAATTCCCCAAAAGGAGGAGCGCCAACATGACCTCAGGGCTTGTCTTCACCTTGTAATGCCATGAACTGGACCTGGTGGGCAAGAGAGAGGGGGAGCTTTGTCCCAAACAAAGAGCCTACAGGTGCCCAGTGAATGAAGCGGATGAAAGTGCGTCTCTGCTTTAATCTCAAAGGTAAGAGCATCCTCTCTCCTGCCTCTAGGAGCTGGTCCAGAGATTTCTTCATTTCTCTCCCGGATGACCTTCATGTTGTTCCACAGCAGCAGCACTTACCATTGGTAGTTCTGGCCTGACCCTGGAGGCAGACTGGTTCACGCATAGACCTGCATGTTGCTGCGTGCTGGCTCAGACCTGTGAGTCCCGGGTCCCCGCTGACCTCCTCCAGCTCCCCCAGGAGTAGGGCTGGTGGTCACATCTGACCAGTCGGAAGCCGAGTGGGGAGAGGAACTTGACCACTGGTCAGGGGACTCTGGGGATGGTGTCAGGTAGGGGTGCTCGCCTTGGAGGTGACCACTGTGGCTGGGCGTTCGCTCGGCAGCATTCGAGGAGGTGTAACTATGCTGTGAAGGGGGCGTGGGGTACTTGCCCACCGAGGCTGGGAAGGGATGATAGGCTGGGAGAATGGTCTGAGCTACCTGCCCATCCTGCTGGGGCATCATGGCTGGGGGGAATGGCGCATTTTGCAAGCGGGCCATTTCTGGAATCTGGAACATAGTGGGCAGGGGTCCTGCAATTGCTGGAGGGCAGTTGGGCTGAGGCTGAGGAACCCCAGCTGGTTGGGCTATACTGCCTTTGGGGATCAGCTGGAAAGTCACAATGGGAGGCAAAGGCTCACGAGGGGCAGTTACGTGCTTGCCATCCGACGGCCTGCTCTGGGGAGCTATGCCAGGGTGGGTGCCCTCAGATGGAGTGAGGACCATGCCAAACAGCTCATTGTACTGGTTTTCGTTCATCTCCATGCGGCTCATCCAGTCCGCTGGGACGGTGACCGGATGCAGCCGGCCCAAGCTCCCTGCACTGCCACTGCCTGGAGGGACGATGTGGTGCTGAGACAGCAACTGGCTCACAGAGGGAAGCACAGTGCCAGCTCCTGGGGCCAAAGGCTGCATCTCATGAAGGCTAGAGAAGGACAAGGCATGCTGTGAGTGGGCGGGGGCAGGGGGTGCAGCAGAGGCCAGCAGAGGGTTGGGTGGTGAGGCCTGTAAGATCCCAGGGGATGTGATCATTGGAGAGGAGGTGGTGTCAGACATGTATGTGTGAGGAGACTCCAGGGAATCGACGGGGGATAAAGTCACCGAGCTCTCAGACAGCTGGCCCTTGTCACTCAGAGCCTTCTTCCTCCTGCTGCCCTTGGCATCCTTGGCCAGGTGAGGGAGGCTAGTGGGCATGGCACTCTTGGCATTGGGCCGCCTCGGCTTCTTGCCCACAGGGGTGTGCTTCAGGCTGAGGAAAGCCCTGTTGGGTCCACACATGACAGGCGAGAGGGCGGAAGTCAGCACAGAGCCTGGAGGGCTCGGGGTCACGTTGTACTCGTCCAGGAGGCGCACGATGTCATGATGCATGCGGTCCCGAGCCACGTCCCGGGGCAGGCGATCCATGTGATCCGTGATGTCCCGGTTGGCAAAATGGTCTAGCAGGATCTTGGCCGCTTCATAGCTCCCTTCCCGGGCAGCGAGGAACAGAGGTGTCTCTTCCTGCGGGAGAAGCCCGTGCAGAAGGCACGTTAGTCTTACTTCTGGGAGCGGAGCAGTGTGCCCCGCCCAGCCTTGCTGCCTTTTTGTCATCCCCCCATCAGGAGTCCTTTTAGACATCATTTCTTGCCCTCATCACCTCCTGTCCCATGAAGCCATCCTACCACAGATAGACAGTATATGCGTCTGTGCTTTTCACATGAAAAAAGGGAAGATTATTTTTCAACCCCCCTCCCCCCAGAGCCTGCCTTCTTGAGGGTGCTGCCATGCCCCATGGGAATACACGCATACAGAGGCCAGTCTATCCAGAGAACCTTCTAAGCGGGGCCGGAGTTAGAGATAAGAATGGAAGAGAAGGAACTAAGGCAAGAATAGAACTGGGGGAAACTAAAGAAAGACGAGACAGGAAAAAGAGAGGAGACAACCGTAGCTGAGAGGACTGGAGTAGAAAGAGGAAGAGAAAGAGAAAAGCTGAACAAGGTGGGAGAACGAATGGACAGAGGGCAGGTAGGCCACCCCAACGATATGGGCAGGCAGCCTGGTGCAAACTGAGCACTGAGTTGGGCCCAGGTCTCAATCTGACATGCCCTGGATAATCCCGGCATCCTCCATCAAGCTCTCTGGATACAAGTCCTGTCCAACCTGCTTCCATCTTTGTCTACATCCACCACAAGCGCAGCTATACCATTCAAAGGGCAGGGGCCTGGGGATCGGAGAGGGGAAGGCCAAAACCTCACTGCCATTGAGTCCGTTCCAACTCACAGTGACTCTGTAGAACTGGGTAGAACGGCTTCTTTGGGATTCTAGATTGTCAATCTTTACAAGGGCAGACAGCCTCATCTTTCTCCTGCTGAGCCGTGGGTGGCTTCAAACTGCTATCGTCAGCAGCTCAGCTGGCAGCCCTCTCTGCCACCAGGGCTCCTCATTGAAAGGGAAGGGGCCTCAAACTTGAGGCTGTGCCATGCGCATTGCGTGAGCCCACTCCGATCCCACACTATACCTTGTTGTCCTGCATGTCTCGGTTGGCTCCGTTCTTCAACAACAAGAGGGTCGCCTCCACATTATTGACCGCAGCTGCCCAGTGAAGGGCAGATTTTCCTGCAGGAGGAAAACATCTTAGTGAGCAGGGGCTATGTCCTTTTTTTAGTATAAAGGAAGGACCACAGCTGGTACAGACTGCCTAGCCTTCAGAAGACCTCTAGGTGAAAGGATCATTTGTCTGTGGTACTTAAGTTATTCTCCATAGCAGAATCTATCAAGGCACATCACTGAAGACAGGTGCCTATTTATGACAAGCCAGAATGCACACTTCGGATGTCCAACCGCCCTTCCCATGAAGTCAGCTCTCATTCAGTTGCCAGGGTAAACGTGGCCAGGATCCCACACAGGCAAACCTTTCACAGACCTTCTGTGAGGTCTAAGAAGCCCCATCCTTCCTCATCTTCCTCTAGGGAGCCCTACTGCCTCCAATCCCTGAGCTGAACAAATAGATATTGAAGGAAAGGAAGAACAGACGGATGGATGGATGGAGGCTTCTCAGGAACTGTACCCAAGACACTTCTTCACGGGAACTCTAACAAATTCCCATTCCTAAATGTGTGCTTTGCAGGTAAGAACCCAAACCTCAGCCTCTTGTCCCTACCATGGTCGTCCACTGCGTTTACGTCAGCTTGACAGTTAATCAGCTCTGCCACCATGCCCTCCACAGCCAGGCGGGCAGCCAGGATCAGGGGGGTCGTGCCATCATTCATCCTGGCATCTAGATCGGTTGCCCGGTTCCGGATCAGGATCTAGAGGAGGGAGAGAAGAGAGTCACCTGGACGAAGGAAAAGAGTGAAACTAAGAGAAGAAACACGGGCACAAGTGCAGCGGTGACGCGCTTCAATCCCTGGAGGGCGGCGGATGTCTTGTTACTCGTGTACCAAGATGGTGGCTCATACGTCCTTGTTGAATGAACGCGTGAACGGGTGCTTGAGAACAACGGGCCACATACTTCCATAGTCTATGCGAAGAGGGTGATTGGGGGAGAAGGGCAAACCCGCATTTCTGGTGTACCCTCTAAGGTGACACCGCATGCTTACAAGTTGTGAGTGTTCCAGGAGCATAACTGAACTCACGCCAAGAAAAGAGCCCAGCATTTCAGCGTCTCACGTGGCCTCAACAGCGGAAGTATTTATTCTTAATCATCAGGACTGAAGTTCAAATATAGGAAGAATACAAGCTGTTTCCCTTGAGCATTGCTCTCTTATAAAGAAGTATCTCTCGGGGTTTAAACAATAATAGTTCATCTAAAGCACAGACGAGACCTTTAAGGGACAGCAAGTTACATTAATGGAGATGAAACAATATGGGAAAACAGTGAACATGTGACGCATCTGGAGAATGTTCTGTCGCTGAATTGTTCATGTAGAAATTGTGAGTGGACATAGGGTGAGTTGTGTGTAATGCCATCCAAAAGAAAATACAGAAAAAGGAACTGAACCCTAGAAATGATTCCTCTCCAGCCGCATCTTGTAAACGGTTCAACTAAAAGGAGGCACTTTTGAAAATGTATCCAATAAAAGGAGTAGGAAAGAAAGAAAACGGCCAAGGAGCACTTGGTTTGGAGCTGGTACCACTCGGTTTGATCTACTCTCTCGGAAGGCAGCCTGAAGAGAAGGGCACGGAGTGACCGGGAGACTGGTACTATCTGCTGTTGGCTTTGTCACTGCCTGGCTGCTTATTTCTGGGCCAGTTTGCCGACCATCTTTTCCTGCTTACTCACCTAACAAGTATAACTCTAACATCTGCCCTAACGCTCCCAAGGGATTACAGATGCATTCCATGACAGATGAAGTGCATTGCCGAGACTCAAGCACAGATATCTTACTGCGTGAGGGGACGCATGTCACGTTCTCTACCTGGAAAACGCCCTGCGCATCGGCTGCCACGGCAGCATGGAGAGGGCAGCGGCCCATGTTGTCCTGGGCATTGGCGTCTGCGCCTGCATCCAGGAGATGTTTGGCAGCATCTGCTCTGGAGTATCGGGCTGCAAGGTGCAGGGCCATCTCGCCCGTGCGGTCTGTCTGGGCCTGGAGGCTGGCACCTTGGCAGACCAGGTCTGTGATGATGTTGGCAGACGAGTCCTCTGCGTCTTCATCGTCATCACTTATGTCTGTGCTGCCTCCTCGGAGAGATGCCAGCATCAGAGGGGTGCACCCGTCTGTGGGGAAGAAAAATTCAGGAAAGTATTCAAGGAGGAGAAGGAAGTTAATATTCAATCGCTCCAATTGTTGGATTAGTTCATTTTAACTCAAGTTGTCCCTATGGGATGTAGTGATTACAGGTTGGGCTGCTAACCACAAAGTCAGCAGTTTGAAACCACCAGCTGCTCCTTGTGGAAATGGTAAGACTTTCTACTCCTATAAAGAGTTAGTCTCTGAAATTCACAGAGGCATTTCTATCCTGTCTTAAAGGGTCCTTATGAGTCAGAATTGACTCAATGGCAGTGAATGTTATCCGTATTGGGGGTTGTGACTGGAGGATTCTGTGTCCTTGGGGAATTAGTAACTAGCTTTACACCGGTCACCTACTTTTCCTCTGATAATGCCTTTTCCAAAGGAGCTCTGGAGGCGCCGTGGGCTAAGTGTTAGATTGCTAGCCACAGGTCAGCAGTTCAAGCCCACCAGCCACTCTAAGGGAGAAAGATGAGGTTATCTGCCCATGAAAAGATTTATAAACTCTCAGAAACCCCATCTGTGGTTGCTATGAGTTAGAATTGACTCGATGGCAGTGGGTTTGGTTTTTCAAAGAAGCCCAGGTGGCACAATGGTTAAGTCGGTGGTTCCAGCCCACCAGCTGCTTTTGGCAGTTCAAACCCCCTTTGCTGAGGAGAGATGTGGCAGTCAGCTTCTGTCAAAATAGAGCCTGGACAGCCCACAGAGTTCTGCTCTGTCCTCGAGGGTGGCTTTGAATCAGACCGGGCTCAATGGGGTGGCGCGTTTGCTCTTGATGTCCTTTCTGGAGACAGTAGTGGAGAAGTCAGGGTCTCCCACTGGGAGCTCATCTATTAGGTTAGACATACTTTTCTGTCTAAGTTTCATGTTATTTTAAATGAGATATTCTAAAATATCCAACTGAAACACCTCAGTTAATTTCAAATATACTAATCATCAGCTAAACTCATTTTTCATCCCTCTGCTTTGAGACATTGCTTCTCCATTTTACTATTGAGCCAATCTAATCAGCTGGTTCCTCTTCAAATATGCTGTCACGGGAACAACGTAAAATTATTTTGTCTTCCCCATAGGAGTTCACAAGTTGGGCAGGCATTTATTCCTGAAGGATCATGCTGCCTCAGGCCGATAGGTCTGTGGAACTGGCGGTGGCGTCCCACCGGGTGGGCTGAGCGCAGGGCGGGGCGGGGCATGTTGGTAACGAGGGGAGGCTGGCTGGTGCTGACCTGGGCCGCGGACGTTCACATCCAGCACATCCACCTCCTGCTCTGCCCGAGGAGGAGTGAGTGCCAATGAGGGCGTCCCACGGATGTCGGCCGCCTCCAGGTGCTGCTGTGTCCATGGGCGTCGGTCCACGGGGTCATCTTCTTCTGAGAGTAAAGCCTCAACTTCACCCTGAACAAGAAGAACAATCTTCCCCATCAACTGGACCTTCCACCAGTACTTGCCTACAAGGAGCTGGCCCCGGTGTGGGCTTCACCCCCATCACTCCCGCGCAACATCTCTGCACAGTGCTTCCCAAGGCCACACTTCAGACTCAACCTGACCACCGAGAGCCTTAAAGAAACATATTTTTGTTTCTAGTGTTTTGCTACTGTTACTCCTCTGTCTGAACTGATTTCCCTCATTCTTTTGTTTGCAAAACCCCTACTTAACCTTCAAATGGAAATCAGAACTTACATATCCAAAATAGCACACCCTGCTTGCCTCTGCGACAAACATGGTGTTCCGGGCTCACACCTGCAGGCTCTACCACTCAACTGTAAGATCAGGGATGCACCTGTCTGCAGCGCATCCCTGTCCTTACCACAGTGCCCAGCTATCGAAAGCACTCAAAAATATTGGTTGAACAATAAGTTTTTACAATTTAAAAAGCAGCTCTCGCTTGTTGAATACTTAGCATATCACAGAAACTAGGTCAGGAATGTTCCATATATTGCTGTGCTTAATGATCACAACCATTCAGAGGTAAATATTATTATTCTTCCCATTTTATGGATAGGGAAAATTAAAGACAAAGAAGTGAAATAACTTGTCCCGTCAGTAAGTAGCAGAGTTGTGGACTTGTACCACATTCTGGTTTTAACTACAACAACGATCTTAGCTGTCATGTGTTACTAACTCTTAATCCTGTGTGACTATAGATGGGTAGGTGAGTGGCTGGCTGGGTGTCTTTTCCACAGCAGCCTCATGCCAATCTACCTCTTACTTCTGTATGGTTTTAGTTTTGTGGGATCAAAATGTGGAGCCTCCAAACTCAATGGTCACTGGTTTCTTCTACTGCTCAACTGTGTCTTCCCTTCCAGAAAAAGGTAAGGAGAACACTAATTCCTCTCAGCATGACACTTGAGGAAGGGCCATAGCTTATTACAGTTGGAGCACTCCAACTGGAAAACATGCACAGGTAACCATCAATGACTTCAGGATTCCTGCCTTTCATTAGTACTAGAGAAAGCCGCTGCCTGGATGACATATGGAGACGACCATCTTTGGCTCCCATTCAGGTTACTCCAGATGCCAAAGGACAGAAATGTGAAATGTGACCACCAGACAATGGTAGTGGTCTTACTACTGCCAGTTTACCTTGGCTTTCTTTGGCTGGGGTCCTTCAGCATCGACCCAATGTTCACTTGTTCCAGAACCGATTAGGTTAGCCTCTGAAACTTGTACGGACAGGTTTCTGATATTAGACGGTGAGAGAGAGGAGAGAGAAGAGCGGAGGTTAGGCCCCAGATGAATGACTTGTTTTTAACTCTAAGTTGCTACCACGACACATTCCCATGGCTATATGCAGAATTTGGGGGTTCTTGGGCCAGAGAAGCTGGTCAGTGGCTCATGTGCCGTTTCCTAAGCATGTCCCCTTCCCTTTCCCATGGCCCGAGGGCTACAACAGTGAGCTGCAACGTGGAATCCGAGCACCATGGGGCTAAGCTATGCAGCCTAGAGGAGCTCGGACTGAGTGTGGTCTCAGCACCAGGAGACATTCAGAGGCAGCCTTAAGTATGAGCGTGTAATCCAAGCTCAGAATTTAACATCATGATTCAACACAGCCTGTTTTCAAGAGTTAGCACTGCTCAGAAGTACTTGTTGCAATGCCTCTTACTTCAGGCCCACGGCGTCCTGCCCCACTGGCTCGCGGCGCTTGTGATTGCTGGAGTCTCGGCGAAGGGTGAAGCCTTCAGGCAGCCACAGAGAGCCGTGCTTCCGCTTTCGTTTTGCCATGATGACCCCCAGCAGGATAATAAAGAGGATAATGGCAAAAGCAACAGCAAGTAGATAGAGGAGCTGAGTGCTTTTGGGGGTCCGGGATTCACCTGCAAAGTTCAGAGACAGGGCAAGTGATGAGTAAATGTCAGCCTCTAAATCTTAGGGTTACGTTCTCTGAGGTGGCACCTGATCTCACCAGCTGCACCTTGGCACATGCCCCTTCCCTCTGCACCCAAGTGGTGCCTTTCCCCTGCCTCCCCCCCTTGACCTGGGTGCCACTCACTGATGACAGACACAAGAGGGTACGACAGGGTCCCCTGGATGGCGTGAGAAGCCAGCAGGGCTGCTGCCGCATCGGTGTTCTTAAAGCACTGGTCTGAATCTTGAACACACTGGCGGTTGTCAATTTCCAGGAATATCCTGGAGCTGTGGGATGAT